GGACAAAAATAAGGACTTGTTATATGACTTACCAAACTTAATTACAGAAAATTGATCTTTTGGCCTTCATTGCATACATTCTTCAAAAGTTAGGTTTTTAGAAATTTGAAAGAATAGCATAAAATGCACAATATTATCACATTTACATTGAGGATAATGCTATGTTTTATAAAAACTTGAAATTACAGCTTTGAAATAAAACTTTATTTCTTCTGTATTTCTCTTTAACCACCAGACTAGACCCAGATACTGCAGAATTAACCTGAGTGTCCCAGTCCTGGACCGTTTCTTCAACCAGCAAGATCCAAGACCAGACTTTCGTTTGAGCAGGGAGTCCCTTCCAGTGCTGCTGAATCTGCTGAACCAAGATCGGCGTCATGGTTGGGGTGCCACAATTGAGACCCTGTTGTTTCTTTTCTGGTTGGCAAGCTGAGCATCTTACAGGGTGGTCTCCAGAGCGTTCGGGATACCTCGTTCGACTGTCCACCGCATCGTCCACAGAGTCACGGAGGAGGTTGTGGCCATTCGCCACCAGGTCATCCACCTTCCAAAACCTCCTGAAGACCTGGAGGTGGTGTCCCAGGGGTTTGCAGGGATGGCACAGCATATAGCTTTTTTTAAAGCTGCAGGTGCCATCGACGGCTGCCACATCAGGATCAAGCCTCCAAGCGGCCCTGATGGTCACTGCTACAGGAACAGGAAACTGTTCCCCTCTATCATCCTGCAGGCTGTGTGTGACCATCAGGGCCGCTTCATTGACACGTACGTGGGCTGGCCGGGGTCGGTGCACGACTCCAGGGTGCTCCGCCACAGCCCGCTGTACAGGCAGTCAGTCTACCCTCCTCCAGGGCACTTCATCCTCGCAGATGGTGGGTACCCATGCCTGCAAAGCCCACTCCCACTCATCACTCCCTACAAACGTGGGAATCAAGGTGTGGCTGCCCAGCGCTTTAACAGCCATCATTCCAAGGCACGCTCTGTGATAGAGCGTGCCTTGGAATGATGAAAACCAGGTTCAGAGCCATCTTCCTGCAAGCGCTGGAGGTCCACCACACCTTTGTGCCTCACGTAAGTGTACGAAATGTGGCTTTTCTCATTTCTTTGAAATATATTTCAATTAATTAATTTATGTATTACAGGTTATTACCGCTTGTGCCATCCTCCACAACATCCGCCTCAGTGCTGGAGACTTTGTGGTGGCGGAGGATGAGCCTGAGGAGGATGGTGGAGATGATGAGGGGGAGGCTGGTTTGGAGGAGGTCAGCGGTGCACGCTGGTGGGACCAGCTGTGCTGTGAGGTGTCTGCCCTGGAGGAGGCTCCACTGGACCATGACTGCTGTTAACAGGTAACAAATGAATGAATTTACATTTTTTAAAATAGTCTAACATTTCACCAATAGTATGTAGATTTTGTATTTATTATCTCCTATTTGTCTATTTATGTTTCAGACTTGGTCATGTAGCAGCCGTCGACAGCCAGCCCTGCACACCGATGGACGATGCAGTGGACAGTCAAGACGCATCTTGAAGCTCTCTGCAGACCACCCAGTAGGATGCTTCACTTGTCAACAGAAAAGAGCAGCCACGGGTCTCAGCTCCAGCACTCCATCCATGACATTCATCTGTTCAGCAGATCCAGCAGCCCTGTTAGGGACTTCCTGCTTCAGAGTTGTTGAAGCGGTCTTGGAACAGGACACTCAGGTTAATCCTGCACCAAATATGCATTTTATTTTTCTTTGTCAGATTTCCCTTCATGATTTTGTGTATATATGTTCAACCATGTTCAAACTAAATTGTTGTAAATAAAAGTATTAAGTTTGATCCATTTCTCCATTATTTTCTCATTTATACATTTTTGTTTAATACTTTAAAACATTACAGGTTACAGAAAATAATCTTGAAGTTCATTTTAATACTGTTTCAAGACATTCTCAATATTTTTAATATGTCACTGCAGCTTCCTGTTGTCAACATTTACATGAGTGATACTGGTGCTTTTAACTTAAATAGCTGACCAACAGTCCACTGTGATGCTTTTAGAGGCAATTCAAATGCACCCACAATAGGCTAAATTTTATGTTTTTTTTAATTTTTATTAAAATGATTAAAATCACACACTTAAATAGTGTTTTTGGGACTGTTGGAGAGCTAATTCAGAGAAAATAGTTTGCAAAGCTGAGCCTGAGCAAAGATGTGATAATAGTATTTAATACTTTCTGAGGGTCTTCATTTGACCAAAACCGATTTATCACCTTTTAAGACTTTAAGACCCAACGGATACCCTGTAATAGTAAACAATTCTCATTTGTAAACAAAAATAAAATTCAACAGTCTAATACAGAACTGATTTTATATAGATATTTTTATTATGTATACATGTTTAATCTTTGTTAATCATTTTTTCGAGCAAACTAAAAAGCCTGCCAAAGTTCTCCCTTCTCTCCTGTGCCGTCTGCTGCTCTGCCTCCCTCTGCAGCCTCATGTCCTCCCTGATCAGCTCCAGAAGCTGGTCATCACTGTCCCTTCTCCTTTTTCTTCCACCTGGCTGACTTCCTCCTGGCTGAGCATCTTCATCCTCACTCTCCTCCCTTTCCTCCACTGCTGTACTTGGCCCTGGAGTGTCCTCGCGGATAGAGGCAATTAGGACAGGCGGACTGGTTGAGGGTCTCTGTCCTAATACCTCATCCATGAGGTCAAACCAGGGCCAAGTAGCAGCAGCGGGCTTCCTACTAACCCCCTCTCCTGACCCTGGATACTTGCAATCCTAGATAAAAATAATAATAATGTCAGTTTACACAAATAACTACAAACCTGTTTAACCTTTTTAGATTTAGCATGTATACATGTTATATTTTTCCACACACATCTACATACTTTATATTTTTCCTTTAAATTATCCCTTCTTTTTTTTTTGCCTGGATGGGGGTCACCTTTCCCTGGATGGTCATTCTCTCCAGAATACTCCTAACATGTAAGAAAAGAAACAGGAAGAGAAAAGATAGAGGACAACGGTTTATTCCTTTCATGTTTTCGCAGAAAAAACTAAACTCAAACGAAAGTTTTTAAAAGATGAGATGTTGTTATTGTACCTCCAAGCCACAGCCGCCGAATACTTAGCTCCGGTGATCATGTGGTCCATCTCCGCCCTAAGCTTAATAAACTCCCTGGTTTTGTCTTTTGTCCCTAAAATACAAACTTCTAGTAAAATCAGGGGAAAACGTAGCGGGAGAAGTACGACACCGAGCGGCCGAACATACGAGCGGAGACCGCAATACAAGCACTTTTACTGTAACATTTCAAACTAAAATAACGTTCATGTATCACAAAAAGCCCTTAACCTAACAGTTTTCAAGTTCATACTGACATTTATATGAGCAATCCTCTCCGACAGCTCCCGCTTCACTGTCCGCCATTGTTTTTAAAAGTTCTGCCGTCTGGCCTGCAAGGCATCTTGGGAAATGTGAACCATTGAAGGATACACCAGACCCATCCTTCATTCAGGCGAAAAGAAGGCCGGATTCGTCGACCGCATTTGAAGGAGTCTTTGAATTGGGACAGGCCTAGTCGTGGCGCGGTGACGTAACCGGCCGACGAAGGATGCAGACCCTGAATTGAGAACGAATATTCAAATGGTTCGAAAAAAATCCTTCGTTTTTTACTGATTCAAACTAGGATTTGTTAAATGCTCGCTGCAGCCTGTGGCCTGCCTGAACAACAACAAACACATGTTGATCATGTTCACATAATAATAAATAAAACAACTCTACAAGCAGAAGAAAACTCCCCAGTCACCACTAACTCTCCTGTTTATTTATTGCAGATGGCTGCACTGATTATTTTTACATGATTTGTTCTGTAAAAGTTGGCATTTTTGGTAGTCAACAGTTTTTTATGTCAGTTTAAATTACAATTTCAGTGGCAATTCTAAAATATTATGGATCATGATAAAGATCTATTGGAGATCTACCCCAACTTTTGGACTGCTCTGCCAGTCCCTGTGGCTCAAGCTGAGAGGAGCTTAACTTGATCAAGTCATACCTGAGGTCACCTATGTTTCAGGGGCGGCTCACTCACCTGGCTCTGATTAGTATCAATCACTCAGTAGGGGAGCAGATTTCATGTGATGACATTATTGATGACTTTGCATCAAGGTTAGGTTTTAATTTTAGTTTGTGTTTTCTGTTCTAAGTGCAATGCTGTAGTGATTATCTTTAGTTTGTTATGTGTGAAATATTTTTGCTATTTAGAATATTTATTATATATTATGTGCATATATTCTTAATATTTAGTTAGTTTAGTTGTTTTTGTATATTTGATTCTATATATTTTGATACAGTATATAATGTATAGTGCTTTACATTCTCACAGCTTCATAGTAATTAATGTAAATATGTGCAACTTAGAAAAATGAATGTTCAATAGTCGTTCTAATAAAACATGCCTGTTTGTAGAAAACATGCGTGTTCGTGCAGGTGGGGTGGTGTGGTGGTGGGTGGGGGGTGGGTGCGCTCAAAGGGGGGCCTCGCCCGGGGAGTAATTCCATGTAGAACCGCCACTGCTCCTCGGGTAGTGTCTGGGCAGTGGTGGGGTTTCCCCCCCCCCCCCCCCCCCCCCGGGCGTCATGGGCCGGTGTCTTGGCTGCTGCCGTGGATCTGTTGCTGTCAGGGCAGATGGCTCCGCTGATGATGTGTCGTTCATTACCTGACCCATCTGAACTCAGCCTATTGCGTCCTCTGTTGTTCACGTGTGTGTGTGTGTGTGTGTGTGTGTGTGTGTGTGTGTGTGTGTGTGTGTGTGTGTGTGTGTGTGTGTGTGCGGGTGAGTGTATGTCCACTTTGGAAGTTGGGTGCGGGAGGGGAACCGTAATTGTCAATTGTTTTATACTTGGGGAGGGGGGCTGGGATGCGAATATGGGATCTATGGGGCCATTTTAATCTGTGAAGCACTCCGAGTTGCATTTTTTTGTATGAAAAGTGCTTTATAAATAAAGTTGATTTGATTTGATTAGTATTAATGTTATATTAACTGACCGATACTACTTTAACTGTCTGGTACATGATAGTAATCTGTACTATATTGTGATGCTAGCACACAAATTTAAGCTAACATCGTTAGCTCACCTGCTGCTCCCCCGCTGCTTCTCCACAATCTCTCTGTTTTGCCCGATGGTCTCTCCCTCTGGTTTGTCTCTGCTCTCAGGGGTGTGCAGCCAACTCATAACTTTATGGTTCTGGTCCATCAGAAGTAGAATTATAAACATTTAAAGTTTCATTACAGTCCATGTTTTTCTCAGGATAAAGCTATCGGGACTCCCTCAGCTGATGTCACAATTTTTTTTCACAATGATTTCCAGTACCAGTTGCTCATTTTCCTTGTGTGGTTTTATCTTGATTTTTTTTTTACCTTTAACATTTTAAACAATACATAATTTGGTGGTTAAGCTTCAAATTAACACGACCACATTCAGATCAAGATAACCACGAATGACATTTTGCAAACACCCATCTTTCTTTGGCAGTTTGCATTGTGCTTGTGAGATCAGCGTGGACTTGTGAACATTGTTCTCTTCCAGAAAATACAAACCAGCACATTTTTGGAGGGTGTTTTCTTCTGTTAGGGGTTAGGGTTAGGCCGTACAGATAAACACAAGACCTTCAGGGGGTTTTCATAAGATGCTCTCAGGGTCTTTGTCATCCATCAGGAAACTGCTGGTTGCAGATAATGGCTCTGCTCTACTGTTGTCATAAAGCATGAGTCTCTCCTGGCTGGAGCACCTCAGCTCTCTTTTAAGTGACAGAAAATTGGTACTGCAGGTAAAAGATCCAGTTAAAATGGTGTTTTTTTCTGCATCCAGCTTCGAGGCATCTGTGCCATAATATCTCCGAAGCCGTTTCCGGAAGTAAATGGTGAATAAGCCATAAATTAGCGGGTCCAGGCAGGCGTTGAGGAGGCCAAAGATGAACAGGATGTGGGTCAGTGAGTTGGAAACTTTATCCTTCAGGTCATCAGGAAAGAACCAGTACCACAGGCCCAACAGGTAGTACGGAGTCCAACAAATTATGAAGGACAAAACTATCACCACACTAATTTTCAGAGTCCTCATCCGGGCTTTGGGAATGTTATTCTTGGAACATCTTAAACGCACTTCAGTGGAGGTCACTGGGGTCAAATCAGAAAACAGACAAGAAAATTCAGTTAAAGGCCTAAATATGTCAAAGTACTAAAATAAATGGCTCACATAAAGAACGACAAACAGTTAACGGGTGTGTCACTGCCCCAGTGCCACCCTCTTGGTCCTCAGGGTGATGCCTCTCTTTAGTGCATTTTTCAAACAGGAAGTGTGTTGTCCTTTGGCAAGACGCTACACACACACACACACACACCTGCTGGTGGTGGTTGAGCGGTCCAGTGACTTCTGTCAGTGCCCCAGGGCAGCTGATGTAACTCTTCACCATCATGGGGTAATAACTGGTGTATTGTAAGGTGCAGATTAAAAACTCTTCATATCAACATGTCAATCAGAAAACTCTGATCCAATATGGCCAAATCCGAATGAGATTTTTTTGAGAGAGGTAGTTTTGTCCGATCAACATTCTGATTGAAGTTCATATACAAGCTTGATATCCATGTACACACTATTTGGATTCTTGCACTAATGCGCATGTGTACAACTTTGGCGTGACGTCTGTGACATCTTTCCATCTTTGCAGTATGGAACTAGGATTGGGACAATATTCAGCGTAACTTGTACCAAGTTTTGTAACTTCGAACATGTTTCATCACATGTAACTTTGGATTCGTAACTTGTAACTTTAGTTTTCTAACTTGTAATTCTCAATTCGTACTTGTATTTCTTGTTTTGTAACAGGAACGTTGTATTTTGTACATGTATTTTTTATTTTGTAAAATCAAACTTTTATTTTGTACATTTACTCATTTTGTAACATCAAACATTCATTCAGAAACATGAAACTTTCGTTTTGTAACTAGCAGACTTCCAAATTGAAAAAATCAAGGTACAAGTTTGAAATCATAACTCTCAAAACACACATTCTACAGCTCTGACAGAACCCTGCCCTCCTCTCCCAATGATTCGACAGGAATTTGAGAAACGTGATTGGTAGCTAAGACTCGTGCTCTCATTGGTTCCACCCAAGTTCCTCCCACTGACGCTAGAATCGAGACAAAAAGATTCGTAACACTGTAGATTTGGTTTGTACGTGTAGAATGAAATGTGTGTTTTGAGAGTTTTGATTTCAAACTTGTGCCTTGATTTTTTCAATTTGGAAGTCTGCTAGTTACAAAACGAAAGTTTCATGTTTCTGAATGAATGTTTGATGTTACAAAATGAGTAAATGTACAAAATAAAAGTTTGATTTTACAAAATAAAAATACATGTACAAAATACAACGTTCCTGTTACAAAACAAGAAATACAAGTACGAATTGAGAATTACAAGTTAGAAAACTAAAGTTACAAGTTATGAAACATGTTCGAAGTTACAAAACTTGGTACAAGTTACGCTGAATATTGTCCCAATCCTAGTTCCATATTGCAGACACTCAGGAAGAGTCGAAAACATGATTGGAAGTAAACAGAAGTTATTCTCAATAAAACAAAAGCATACAGGTAAAATTGCAAAGGACCATAATGGGGGAAATAATGAAAGTAAATGTAAGTATAATAACCTGATGATTTGGTAATCAGAATATTTTGTGTTTTATCTTCATAAATATTCAATGTATTTTCATAATTAATATGCACTGAGGCATTGAATAAATTTCATTTTGTTATTAGACAATTTCATTGTTCTACAGAGAAGTAAAACATTAGTTAAAAATAGGAAGTCCAAGCGTGTTATGGAAAAATCTATGTTTATTAATTCCTGATCATGGACTCAGTCAACTGGATGTAATGTATTGCTCTATGCATCTGTGCATGCTCATTTACTCATACACACACACATTCTTGTCCCACTCACATACACACACATTCTTATCCCCCCCCCCCCCCACACACACACACACACACACTGACTCTCTCTCTACCTCTTATCTCTCTCTATAAATAAACCTTGTGAACAGATGTTTGAAGCATTTGCTTCGGCATCTTGCCGCAGTTATAACTGTTTGACTTGTCTGCTCATTGTCTCCTTCTCTTTTCACTACAGGAAATGCGTTATTGTTGATAAACATATTGATAAAATCCATGACATTATTTTGTCCTTCGAAAGCCGGGGTCCCATCACCTCGTGGCGCTAAGAACCGACGTCGGAGTACTGTCGACAACCTAAATCTCCTCCAGCGCTGAGTTTGCTGGGGGGTCGGTGGGGTCTTGACGTTGTTAGGAGGAATGCGGATCCACAAACTAATCAAGCCCTGAGTGGAGAGAGACTTGGTGAGACAGGTTTGTTGTTGTTTTTTGTTGCTTTGTCTTGTGGTACCGAGAGAAAATCCTAGGTGACCAGGGGTTAAATTCGGGGTTTTTTGCCGGAAAATATAAACGCAAACAGATTCCTGGAATGCTGTTTTGGTATGGTTGAGAGAGAATGGACCAGGGTGATAACTGAGGGGTGGCCTAAGTGAGAGGTGGCCTGGCTTTTGAGTGTTTAGCCTCTAATACAAATGCAACTTGAGTTGTCATTCTTGGTTGTGTGGTCAGAGAGAAACATAAACAGATTCCAGGAATACTGCTTTGGCTTGGGTTTTTGAGCGTTTTTGCCGAAATATAAACGCAACCCGGGTGTGATAACTAAGAGGTTAAATTGGTTTTTGGAACAGGATCTTTGTAGTACTGTGTGGTAGGTCCATGGATGTGAAGTTACCCATGTAGTACTGTTAAGTAGGTCCATGGATGTGAAATTAGCCATGTAGTACTGTGTGGTAGGTCCGTGGATGTGAAGTTACCCATGTAGTACTGTTAAGTAGGTCCATGGATGTGAAATTAGCCATGTAGTACTGTGCGGTAGGTCCATGGATGTGAAGTTACCCATGTAGTACTGTTAAGTAGGTCCATGGATGTGAAATTAGCCATGTAGTACTGTGCGGTAGGTCCATGGATGTGAAGTTACCCATGTAGTACTGTTAAGTAGGTCCATGGATGTGAAGTTACCCATGTAGTACTGGTAAGTACTGTAGGTCCATGGATGTGAAATTAGCCATGTAGTACTGTTAAGTAGGTCCATGGATGTGAAATTAGCCATGTAGTACTGTTAAGTAGGTCCATGGATGTGAAATTAGCCATGTAGTACTGTTAAGTAGGTCCATGGATGTGAAATTAGCCATGTAGTACTGTTAAGTAGGTCCATGGATGTGAAATTAGCCATGTAGTACTGTTAAGTAGGTCCATGGATGTGAAATTAGCCTTGAATAGAAACATTGTTTTGGTTATCTTGTTGTTGTTGTTTGTTCTGTTGGATGTTGTCTGCTTAAATTGTTGCTTGGATAAATGAGAGAGAGTATGGAAAGCTGTGTACGTGTGGTATCTATGTATGGGGTAAAAAAGAACTCACAAAATACCTTTTGAGTAAATATGGATGAAAGTGAATACCCAGGAAATGTGGAAAGGATCTGAAATTACCAGAGAAGTGATGGAAAACGTGATTTTGGTGACTGCTGACGTGTCACAAATGTATTATGCCTGCAAGGAAGTACAAAGCGGTGGAGATAAATAAAAGGTTGAAACTGTGAGCAGAGCGGAGGCAAGGCCTGCCTGAAAAGCAAAACATTGGCAGCTGTGCTCTGAGCTAATAAGGTCTTATCAATTGAGGCCTGAAGGTTATAACTAGAAAATGAAAATGGAAAATATAATTTGAACGGCTTCTCAAAATTGTAATTTACTTATTTGTTTTTGCTATTAAGCACAGCTGTACCTTATTGCATTTTAGACCCTCTATGTGGATTTCAGTAAGTCCAGTCAAAATACTTCATGTTCAAAATGCGCGCTGTCCACTGAGGTGAACATGTAATAAATTATTTGCATATTATTAGGTGTTCCAAACAATACTTGTTGAAATTTGTTTCCTTCACACATAAAGAAGAATGAGAATAATTGTTAAATGAGTGAGATTGAAGGTTTCATAATTCATGCATCAAAAGGTTGGACACGACCCAAATATTTAATTTCTGGTATCTGGTGATTAAAATAATTTCAACTATAAACTGTCACTTTTAGTGGCTGAAAGGGAAAGGGTTTTAGTTAAATCAATTTGAGACATTAACTGTATATCAGTATACTTGGTAGTAAAATAAGTACCCACATAAAAAAAAGGAAAAGCTAAGAGTGTATGTTTGGGTTAACAGTAATCCCAGACCAATTTAAACTAATGACTTTTGTCACATTGCATTTTATCTCTTTATTTTGTTTTTAAAATCTTCGTATCTGACGTTTTAAACCAAGACAAGGGAGTTCAGCTGATGACAATGACACCTGGGTGGACATGAACTGGTGTGCAGTACCTGTTGAATTCAAAACTGCATTTTGAACACATTAAAAATATCGTTTGTCATCAACTGAATCTTTCTGGCGTCTGTCAAAATGTAGAAACTTGTTCAGATGTCCGATTAGTGGACATTGTAATCAGAACAAGGGGAGAAATTGTCTGGCAGTAAAATTAAACGAGACAGCAGATTAAAGCTGTTGTAGGAAATTTGCATTTATTAAGTTTTAGTTCCTTTAATTCTTCATGTACTCTCTGCATATGAACTTTTAAATGCTTTGACACATAATTTTGCATTCCTCTGTGTCTGGTTAAAACAGCAAGGTTGTTTCAGAAAGACATACATATTGTAACAGACAATATTCCATCAGCCAAGAGGCTGAAGCAAAAATCAGGAAGGTTTTGGAAAATAATTGCTGAATGAAAATATCAAACAAAGAAAAGTAAATGCTTTCAATTAAAAATGTAGTTTGCACACTTGAAAATAAGTGTGGAGGAGCTGGACAGTTGATCTGAGGTTCTCTGTCCTCTGAGATGTAAAACATCGGGCCATGTTTCCTAAATCGGTAGAGATTACATTAGATTACACAGCTGCGTGCCTTTGCTCACTTAGACCTGGGAGAAATAAACTTGTGCAGTTTCAGACTAAAACATTTAAATGTTGGTAGATTTTAAACAACTTAATGAACACAATTATTGCTGAACACATCAAATAAATTTATTGAAATTTAAATCATGTAAAATTGGTCAATGTCTAAACATTACTTTTCTTTAAGGGCAGACGGTATGAAATTACCCACTTTCATAATTTGGTTTTCATGAAACATGATGAATCTTAAAAATCTTTGTACATACATAAATTTATTTTAAATAGGATTTAGATGATGAATGAGTGATTTGGCTGTTTCGTAGTAAATTATTATTATTATTATTTAATTTTAACGTAATTGATGCAGCTTCTCAGGGCCGCATGCCCTGAAAATGAAAATCCCACTGTTTCCTTACCAAAACCCAAACAACTGAGATTGCTGAGTCATGCTGACCTGCTCAGACAGGAGGGATCAGGCATCCCTCTTCGAGTGGGGTGATTATCTGATTCCTTTTGCCAATCTGCTAATTATCTGACGCTTGTGCGTCTGTTGAACACCAATGATACCTTGACTATAAGAGTAAATCAAAGTAATATTTAAGCGGGATGCACAAGCTGCCCCTGATAGGAGATCATAACGGCCTGTCATGGAATATCTCAGATTGGTGTGACGGTTAAATGTTTTGTTTTGAACCTAAATCACCTTATCCTTAGGAAGTTAGAGATTAATGCATGACGTCCTGACCCTTCAAAAGTAGTGATTGTGTTTTTTAACATTATTGTATCTTGAGCCTAGTTTTGGTTTGCTTGCTTCGAGCAGATTCTTAACTCTAATTTCTCTCTGGGATTAATAAAGTATCTTTGAATTTGAATTGAATTTGAATTAAATATCATTAACCCAATATCATTAGAGACTATCCAATATCTTTATAAATGCTGTCCATTTGAGATTTCTAGATATAATGGGTTATCTAGTTTGCTGTTATCATATGACTTCTTAAAGGTCAGGCTCCTACAAGAACCGTGTGTTTAATACATTCACAACTTTGGAGATTCCCTTACAAATGAGCCTTATAAACAAATCTCCCCATTTATGGTTGAAGTTACCTCGACTTGATTTTGTGCTCATGAATTCAGTAATGTCCACTTTGTGATGAGTTATTTTTTTTATTTATGAAGATGTTACATTAACTGAACGTTTAAAGTATCTAGCTCTTTTAAGTTATGAAACGTTCTCTGAATTGTGTTATCTATCCATTTCTACACTAGATTAACTGTTTATGTGATTAATATTGAAATCCTTCCAGGTTAGTGAATGCTTTCTGCTGTTTTTACAAATTCTTTATTTTGCCCCTACTTTTGAGCAGAATAGCTCCCCCTTCCTTATCACCTCCTTAATTCAACAAGGACAGGGCGGCAGCTCATTGGACAGCCCTCGCCCTTGACTCCATCATTGTTTTGTTATTGCTAGACAAGCATTATAAGATGACACTTGTCCTAAATGTCCCTTAGGTTTGATCAGTGGCCTGGTGACCTGACACCTGTTATTTGATGGTCTCATTAATATGAGAATACATGATTACATATGCATCTAGTAGTTTTTACTTTTGTTAGTCTTTTATTTTTGTTCATTTTTTGTTGTTTTCTGAGTATGAATCCTTTAGTTGTTCATTATCACATTTAGTTATACTCCCCTGCGTGACCCTTTAGCTACTTAGGGTTCTTCCCCGAGCACTTTCTAGGTTCCTGTGGTATAACCATTTTTACACAAAGTACACTTTGGTAACTTATGAATTATTTCTTTGTTTTTTCTTTTGCTTAGAACGTCTTTTCCCTTCCTGAAACCGTTACAATCTTTTCAAACACCTTTAGAGTTTTGTGTATCTAAGAACACCATCAGTTGTTTATTTTTGACTGATCACTGTTTCTGTGTGACGAATGAGTTTTATTTTCCTTAAAATAATCTGTTGTTCAATTTAACGTACTGAGTTTTATTTTGTTTGGATAATTCTGCTGTCCAAATTTGCTTGTGCAGCTCTAATTTAGCTGTATGTATCTCCTGTTGACAAATTTTACACATTATTTGAGTAGCATTATTGAGTGACATTGCACGTTGTTGATGTGCTCTGAAGTGACCTTACCTTATTGAATCTATGTGGATTTGAAATATTATTTTTATACTTAGGACTGGTATCGTTGTTAGTTGAGTCCAGTGTTGAAAGCAAAGAGATTAAACTAGGAAGTTACTAGAGGTGAAAGTTTCTGGCATAATGAGAGCGAACACGTAGACTCTATTTTTGTTTTATTAGTTGGGGAAGTTGACAAGCTCACCCTTTGTCCCAGATGGGTTGATTCTTTTGATTTCATTGGATTTAAATTTTTGCTACAGCTCTTTTACTACTGTTTCTCCTGTTACTCCTAGGTGATGTAAATCACTTTTTGTGTATCTTTCTGAGCATTCCTTCTCTGTGGCCGTCTCCAAGTTTAGGTCCTCCTCCACCTCCCTCGCCCATGGTGTCCCACAAGGTTCTGTGCTGGGGCTATGCTCTTCCTCCTCCATCTGCGTCCTCTTCAGCGCTTCCTGAGCTCCTTCAAAGGAATCTCCTACCATCTTTATGCAGATGACATCCAACTGTACATCTCCTTTAAGCCCCATGAGATGTCTAAGCTGCAGCTGTTACACACCTGCTTAGACTCTATCAGAACCTGGATGGTGGGAGCTTTCTTCAGCTGAATGAAGATAAGACTGAGATCCTCATCTGTGCCCCAGACAAGCTGGTTCCCAAAGTCAGAGACTCTCTTGGTCAGCTTGCTTCCCACACCAAACCTTCCGTCAGGAATCTTGGCGTGACCTTTGACCCAGCTCTCGCCCTGGATTCTCATGTCATTTCTCTTGTTCGCTCCTCCTTCCATCTCAGGAACGTTGCTAAGCTGAGTCCCGTTCTGTCCCGCTCTAAACTTGCAACACATTCTCACTCCCAGTGCATCAAAAACAAACGCTTGGTCAGCCACCCTCCACGTCAGACCCCAGATGCCAAAAGTGCCCTTTTTCGTTTCTTATGTGCGAAAAGGGTTTTTCCCTTATTTGACTGCAGATCCCAGTGCAGCGTTACACTGACGCGATGGGATGTCCGCAGCCAGGGCACCAAACAAGCTCATTGTACCTCACCTTAACCTTATCCTCTTATTTAACCTTCCCATCACCCCTATCCTAACCTTAACCATCTTGCTAGCGAACACGTTAGTGATGTGTCGATTGCTCTAAAAGCCGGCTCTATGAAGTGAACAGCGGGAGCTGCCTCGTCATTGGTCGAGTTTGGACCGAGCCAACGCGAGGAGGAGGTTTCAACTACCAAGGTGGAGGTTAAAAATAGAGGGTATTTGTAACCTCCCCCTCGCCAGATGGTATGTTCTAACATTCCCCTTGGGCGGCAAATACGAAAATTGACAGTCAGACTCTTACTGCCAGAGTCAGAATGCGTGGGAAACATACGCTTGATCGCAGTGAGAGTAACGTTTTAGGTAGCAAGAGGGTTAACGTTAGGATGAGGGAGAGGGGAAGGTTATAAATAGCGAAACGTTAAGGTTTAGGTGCGGTTAAACGAGCTGGTTCGGTGCCGCATCAGCGGATATCTCATCACGCCAGTTTTACGCTGCATTGGGATCTGCAGTTACAAAAGGGAAAAACCCCTTTTCGCACATAAGTAACGAAAAAGGGCACTTTTGGCATCTGGGGTCTGACGTGGAGGGTGGCTGACCAAGCGTTTGTTTCCGATGCTTAGGGTGTGAGAATGTGTTGGAACTTGAGACAGTTCTCCACACCTTCATCTCCTCACGCTTAGACTACTGTAGCTCTCCTTTCACGTGTCTGAGCAGAACCTCCCTGAACCGTCTACAGGTGGTTCAGAACGCCTGTGCTCGGCTTCTGACCAAGTCCTCCAAACACACCCACATCACCCCACTTCTCCTCCAGCTTCACTGGCTGCCAGTCAACTTCAGGGTTCATTTCAAGATCCTGGTCTATAGGGCCTTACATGGACAAGCACCATCTTACATTGGTGATCTTCTTAGTCCCTACACCCCCAGCAGGTCCCTGAGGTCCAGTGACCAAAGCCTACTGGTTGTGCAGCACCAGGCTAAAGGTCAAAGGTGACAGAGCATTTTCTTTTTCTTTCTTGCTTGCTTTTTTTTAGTCTAAACTTACAGTTGTCCCTTTTCAGCTGTTTTGAGATCTCATAGAAGATCCTGCTGTAGCAGGTGATCATGATGACCAGTGGCAGCAGGAACAGACATGCAAATGTAAACATGTTGTATGCGGTTTCGTGCCATCCATCGATGAAACTTCCCTGAGTTGTACACTGGGTGAACTCCTTAGGATGGGTGATGTTCACAATGTGGAATAGAAAGATCTGAGAAGGAGAAAAATCAAAAGGAGATTCAATTCATACGCAGACATTTTTTTTTACCAGCAGAACCTTGTATTTACTCTCATGTAAACTAACTCAAAATAAATTTAAAAATATTTGTATTTCGGTTTGTTTCAATTCAACGTCTTAGATGGGCGAAGAATGAACGCCTTACCTGAGGGACGGACAGCACCACACTCATGCTCCACGCCACGCTAAGCATGATTCTGTTCCTCACTCTTGCTGTATTGATAGCTAGAGGGTTGACAATGGCAGACTTCCGGTCTAAACTTATCACCACTGTGACAAAAGCGCAGGAGTACATTGCCAGCAGCTTGAAGAACATCAGAAACCGGCATGCAAAGTCTCCAGCAAGCCACTGGACTGTGGTGTTCCACACAGCATCCACAGGCATCACGATAAAGGTCACCAGCAGATCGGCCACTGTCAGGTTGATAATCAGGACCTTGACGTGGGATTTACGTTTCCCGTCACAATGTGCCGCCCACAGAACGGCCAGGTTGCAAAAGGCTGATACGCAGAAGAGAATGAAGGTGATGATGACTCTGACCTTGGCTGCGGTAGTGAAGGTGGGCAGCAGCAGGGCATCGTCCCCGGATGTCCAGTTGGAAACGGGTGAGGAGCAGTTGCAGCTGATGTTGGCCTGGTGGTCTGCCACCACATTGGAAATGGTGATGGCAGGGCCGCACAGACAGCTGTTCATTTTCTGCCACTTGCATAAATAAGAAACCTTTTCCTTTTCAACTTCAGACGTCAGAACTGGTCACAGAATCAAAGCAAAAAGAGGAAATTAGCCATAAAAGATACTTAGACATCAGCAGAGAAAAAGAAACTGGTACTGAACATACTAACAACTTATATAATCAAGGAACAAACATGTTGTACAACTCAGCTGAAATATGAAAACATGAATGCAGTCAATGATTTCTTCTTTAAATCACAGATGACATATTTTACCCAGAAACGGAAAAGCCTCACACACAACAACAAAGACAGCATAGGAGTAAATTATAAAGCTAAAAACATAAAAGCAAGACATAATTACATTCAAGGTTAACCAACCATAAAACAAGTAAAAGCACAAGAGATAAAAGAGAAACAAGTAAAAACTAACTGAGTAACGTTAGTGAGCTAAAAAGTAATGAGGAATGTCACAAGCTGCTGCTAACAGAGAAGCACTGACACATGAAGACAGTTGTGGGAAAAGCCAGGCTAAAGTTGTGTGTTTTGACGGCAGACTTAAACCTACAAAGGGAAGGTGCCCGATGCTCATGGAGGGCCAGAGAGTTCCAGAGTTTGGGGGCAGCGTGTGAGAAGGCACGCTGCCGAAGACTGTTAACTTTCCTGGCAGCAGCAAAGTGACTGCCTGCTTCTTTGGCATCGATATTACGTGATGGCATCTTCCAGCCATCTATCCATTCTCTTCCGCTTATTTGGAGTCGAGTCGCGGGGGAAGCAGTCCAAGTTGAGTGGCCCAGACTTCCCTCTCCCCAGCCACCTAGCTCTTCCGGGGGGATCCCAAGGCACTGGCCAGCCGAGATGTAGTCCCTCCAACGTGTCCTTGGTCCCTCTTTTGGTCTCCCCCAGTTTTGGCATTCAAGGAAAACCTCAGCAGGGAGGCATCCAGGAGGTATCCTGACCAGATGCCCAAGCCACTTCAACTGGCTTCTCTCAATGTGGAGGAGAAGTGGGTCTACTCCGAGCCCCTCCCGAATGACTGAGCTTCTCACCCTATCTCTAAGGTCCAGACACCCTTCAGAGAAAACTCATTTGGCTGCCCGTATCTGTGATCTCATTCTTTCGGTCACTAACCAGTCAGCCTGTGTCTTGAGGTGAACAGCACACTGCTAACCCTTGATGAAGCAGGCTCAGGACAAATCAATGTCTGGTGACCTCTGACACTGATGTGGACATTTCCAACGCTACATTTATAAACTATATTTTTTATAGTTTTCTTGTTTTTAACTCAAGTTTGTAATCATCTTTCATTTGTTTTATATTATAATTTTATGACTTTATTTTTCAGATTTTAATCTATTTCTGTTTATAAGATCATTATTATTTCATAGCCGGGCTTTCGCCCATGGGGCCTGGCCAAGCCCAGCCCGAACCGGATACATGGGCTCATCCAACTGTTGACCCACCACCCGCAGGAGGAACATGAAGGGTCCGGTGCAATGTGGATCGGGTGGCAGACCGAGGTGGGAGCCTTGGCGGTCCGATCCCCGGACAAGGAAACTGATTTTTGGGACACAGAACGTCACCTCGCTGGCGGGGAAGGAGCAGGAGCTAGTGGCAGAGGTTGAGCGGTACCGGCTAGATATAGTCGGACTCACCTCGACACATAGCATTGGCTCTGGAACCCAAGTCCTTGAGAGGGGTTGGACACTCTCCTTTGCTGGAGTTGATCCGGGTGAGAGGCAGAGGCTGGGGTTGGCTTTTTGTTAGCCCCAAGACTCTCTGCCTGTGTGTTGGGGTTTACCCCGGGGGACGAGAGGGTAGCTTCCCTGCGCCTTCGGGTTCGGGGAACGGGTCCTGACTGTTGTTTGTGCTTATGGGCCAAATATCAGTTTAGAGTACCCACCCTTTCTGGAGTCCCTGGGACGAGTGCTAGATAGTGCTTCATCAGGGGACTCCATTGTCCTGCTGGGGTACTTCAATGCTCACATGGGCAATGACAGCATGACCTGGAGGGGTGTGATTGGGAGGAACGGCCCGCCTGATCTGAACTCGAGTGGTGTTTCGTTAATGGACTTCTGTGCAAGCCTCAGTTTGGCCATAATGAACACCATGTTCGAACATAAGGATGCCCATCGGTACACTTGGTACCAGGGCAGCCTAGGTCGCAGGTCGATGATAGACTTTGTAGTCTTATCATCTGACCTGCGGCCGTATGTTTTGGACACCCGAGTGAAGAGAGGAGCGGAGCGGAGCTGTCAACTGATCACCACCTGGTGGTGAGTTGGATCAGATGGCAGGGGAAGATGCCGCGTAGACCTGGCAGACCCAAACGCATAGTGAGGGTCTGCTGGGAACACCTGGCAGAAGAACCTGTCAAGACGGTCTTCAACTCCCACCTCTGGCAGAGCTTTGACCGCGTCCCAAGAGCAGTGGGGGACATCGACTCAGAGTGGGCCTTTTTCCACTTTACGATTGTTGAGGCGGCTGTTGCTAGCTGTGGTCGCAAGGTGGCCGGTGCCAGTCGTGGTGGCAACCCCCGTACCCGCTGGTGGACACCAGAGGTTCGGGGAGCCGTCAGGCTGAAAAAGAAGGCCTACAGGGTGTGGCTGGTCTTTGTGTCTCCGGAGGCAGCAGACAGGAACCGGATAGCCAAGCGGGGTGCAGCAGTGGCAGTTGCCGAAGTCTCGGGCGTGGGAGGAGTTTGGTGAGGCCACGGAGAAAGACTGTCGATCGGCTCCAAAGAGGTTCTGGCAAACTGTCCGACGCCTTAGGGGAGGAAGGCAGCAACTCGCTCACACTGTTTACAATGGGGATGGGGAGCTGCTGACGTCAACTGGGGCTATAGTCGGACGGTGGAAGGAATACTTTGAGGAGCTCCTCAATCCCACCTACGCACATTCCGAGGAGGAACCAGAGCCAGGAGACCTGGGGATGGACTGTCCAATCTCGGGGGCAGAAATTGCTGAGGTAGTCAAACAACTACACAGCGGCGGAGCCCCGGGGGTGGATGAGATTCGTCCTGGGTATCTCAAGGCTATGGATGTTGTAGGGCTGTCGTGGTTGACACATCTCTGCAACATTGCATGGTCATCTCCTGTGGAGTGGCAGACCGGGGTGGTGGTCCCCATCTTTAAGAAGGGTGACCTGAGGGTGTGTTCCAACTATAGGGGGATCACACTACTCAGCCTCCCTGGAAAGGTCTACTCCAAGGTACTGGAGAGGAGGGTCCAATCGATAGTTGAATCTCAGATTGAGGTGGAGCAATGTGGTTTTGGTCCTGGCTGTGGAACTGTGGACCAGCTCTATACCCTTGCAAGGGTGATGGAGGCGGCATGGGAGTTTGCCCAACGAATCCACATGTGTTTTGTGGATTTGGAGAAGGCTTATGACCGTGTCCCCAGGGGCAGCCTGTGGGGGACGCTCCAGGAGTATGGGGTGGGTGGCTTTCTGTTAAGGGCCATTCAGTCCCTTTACCAGAGGAGCATGAGTTTGGTCCGTATAGCCGGTAGTAAGTCAGACCTGTTCCCAGTGAGGGTTGGACTCCGCCAGGGCTGCCCTTTGTCACCGGTTCTCTTTATGGACAGAATTTCGAGGCGCAGCCGTGGTCTGGAGTGTGTTGAGTTTGGTGGCAGGAGAATCTCGTCTCTGCTTTTTGCGGATGATGTGGTCCTCCTAGCTTCATCCAGCTCTGACCTTCAGCTCTTGCTGGGTAGGTTCGCGGCCAAGTGTGAAGCGGCTGGGATGAGGATCAGCACCTCCAAATCTGAGACCATGGTTCTCGACCGGCTTGCCAACTCCGGGTCGGGAGAGAGGTCCTACCTCAAGTGGAGGAGTTTAAGTATCTCGGGGTCTTGTTCATGAGTGAGGGTAGGAGGGATCGGAAGATCGACAGGCGGATTGGTTAAGCATCTGCAGTGATGCGGACGCTGAGCCGATCTGTCGTGGTGAAGAGGGAGCTGAGCCAGAAAGCCAGGCTCTCGAGTTACCGGTCGATCTACGTCCCAATCCTCACCTATGGTCATGAGCTTTGGGTAATGACCGAAAGAACGAGATTGCGGATACAAGCGGCCGAAATGAGTTTCCTCCGTAGGGTGGCCGGGCTCAGCCTTAGAGATAGGGTGAGGTGCTCGGACATTCGGGAGGGACTCGGAGTAGAACCGCTGCACCTCCGGATCGAAAGGAGTCAGTTGAGGTGGTTTGGGCATCTGGTCAGGATGCCTCCTGGACGCCTCCCTGGGGAGGTGTTTCGGGCATGTCCTGCCGGCAGGAGGCCCCCGGGTCGACCTAGGACACGTTGGAAAGGTTACATCCCCAATCTGGTCCGGGAACGCCTTGGGGTCCTGCCGGAGGAGCTGGTGGAGGTGGCCGGGGAGAGGATGGTCTGGAGCTCCCTAGTTGGGATGCTGCCCCCGCGACCCGGATAAGCGGAGGAAGACGACAATGACGACGATTATTATTTCATGACTTTGTGTTTTATTTTGTTTTGATCTATGTGAAGCATTTTGTGATTTGATATCTGTGACGAGTTTAACGTAAATAAAATTTACTTACTACATATGTGCTCTTGGCATCACGGTACCGCAACTCGATGATCGACTTTGTTGTTGTCTCATTTGATCTGTAGCCACATGTCTTGGACAATGTAACATCTTATAAGTGGTTACTTCTAATAAATTGTCAATAGAATGTAAAGGTATTCAATAAAAGGTTATATTACATAAAAATATGCATTATCAATATTATTGAGCCTTTGAAATTCGATTGATGATGAAACTAGGTACTTTGGGTAATCCAGGGAAACAACACTTTATAGTAATTTGACAGAGAGACAAATATATAGTTTACAAAAAATCTATTTATTACTATATTAATGACAATGAAAGACAATGTTAAGTAAATATTGATATTATAGCTTAATTTATGGACTGTTAAAATGTCTGGTGCTCCTTAAGAATAATTAAACGCAGGGTTCATCCTGTAACCTTGTCATCCTGTAGCCTTTACAGGGAGGAAGTAACCTTCGAGCTGTTTCTGGCAGACCAAGCGAGTTGGTTTTATCAGTATACTCCCATGAGAAAGTTGAGTGTGCACCTTGGCTGAGACAGACTTCCTTCACTAGCACTTTCCCGCATGAAAGTCAATATAATAGCTTAAGGAATGTGAATTGTGTGTGTGTGCGCGCCTGTGTTTCAATAAATACTTTCGGAGGACGTCAGTCTGATGAGAGAGTGAACTGAGATCCTTGCTTGGTGTGTATTCATTCCTCTCCACTTTGCAAAGTCTAAATTTATGATTGGTTTTGGTGTTGATTGATTGATTACTATAACCCCCTGTGCATTAAACTTTCCCTAAGGTAATCCTGGATTGATAAAATTACCCAACATGTTGGTGCCGTGAACCTGTCGTGCTGAGCCAGACGCTGGAGGGTCCTCTACGGGGAGCCGATGGGGCACCGCTTCCTGATAAAGTCTGGGGGGCTGGGATTGCGTCACCGGCCGGCTGCTTAGCTCCGCAGACGGACTTCCGCCAACGGCTCATGCACGCCGGATTCGGGGTGAATCTGCCTCGCAGGGGGGAGTAAGTACCTTTTTTATTTCTCACCCTGTTTCATGAACGGCTGATTGACAGTGTGTTTACGCCTGTGTCTGCCTTTCCGGCGCGAGAGACGTTTTGCGCCCCAGCTGTTGTACGCTGAGTCTTGTGCTAGGTCCGGCTGTTCTGGCTCGGAACTGTCTGACTGAAAAGAGTTGAAAGAGAGAGCCAGTGGCCAAGAACGCTACCGGAGGAAGGTTGTAATCAGGGCCATGTCAGCATGCTTGGTCCGATCCACCACGGTCATAGGTGGGCAGTAATAAGGCTGAAATTGCAGACCTATGATAAAAAGCTGCGCGAGGAGTGAGCTGATTGATTACATAAAACAGCGCTTTGTTAAAGCAGACAACTGCAGATTGGCTGAAGCACATACTCCTTTGCAGCTGTCAATAAGAGGGGTTGGACGGATTCATCAAGAATAGATGACATCAACTTGCCATCTTACGGAGCTGCAATGAGATGTGATGTGCAGCCACGTTAAAGCGGATAGCTATAAAAAAGTGCTGCGTTAAAGCTGCCACAATATCTTTGCGCAACGCCGGCTGACCACCAGGCTGGCAAAGTTTATAGAAGTTCTTAATAAACACCATTAAACACACTGTCGCTTTGATTGTTAAATATTTTACAGTACTGCAGAGGTACAAAATACGATCACCGCTACATTTGGCTCAAAAGACCCAAATCGTTCTAAATTCACCCTTATTGTTTCATGGTTTGTGTGTCTTTCGTGGTTTTGTTCATTGTGGTCAAGTTGTTAATTGTGTTTAAGTTCAGTTGTGGACTCTGTCTCATCTCTGTGTGTGTGTGGGA